GTTGTGCTGCACAATATTTTTGTGGAAAACATATTCTTTTTTTTTCAGAATTTTTTTGATGAATAAAAATATTTTCCCGCATGTTTATTGTAATCAGTTATTGAAGTGCTTTATCTGATGTGTTTAGTTCATGAATGTGTGCTATCTGATGCTGTGTGTGTTTAATGACTGTTGTATGTTATATTAATCATCACAGCTGCTAAAGAGGCCAGTTTTGAAGGCATAATGTGACCTTTTATTGAATATTAGCATTTAAAAAATGTATTATTTTAAAATGTATTTGTCTAATTAAATTTTAAACAGAAAAGTAGTGAAATAAACTCAATAAAACAAGGATAACACAAAGTGTAAAAAAAAAAAAAAACCTTGTTTCCATTGTGGTCCTTGATGTTAATTTGAACTCGAAACTGTTCTTATTTAATGTAATATATTTAATTAGAGTCCAATTCAAGTGGTTTCTCTGTTAAACCACAATGAAACATATTGTTGTAAAACTAATGTTCACTCAGAAACTGATACATTTCTCAAGCAGTTAAGTTAACACTGAATTAAACAATATTTTCACTCGAAATGTTATTTTCTTGTAAAACGTGCTGCAATAACGTCCTCGAGTGCTACTGTAACTGCACTTTTCCAACTGCTTTCCTGATGAAGAAAATTATCATAAATATTATATGCCACATAAATTACTAACAAAGGAAAATGTGAGGATGCAAAGATCTTAAGACACGATGAAAACATGTTTGCATGTACTTCCATGGTCAAATATTCATATGCCGCATTCAATAAACGCGTGTTAGCTGATGATGATGATGATGAAGATGATGATGCTTCACTAAACAAAAGCAGGTTCTAGCGCTGAACGCGACAGACACACAGCATCTCATTCATGAAGAAACGAGCACTTACATGCTTCCAGTCAGGTCCGGTGCAGAAGCTGTTCATCCAGAAGCGATGGACGCGGTCTGATCAGCGAACGCCGGTCCTTTCCCTTCTCACTTCCGGCGGGTGATGAAGATGAAGATGAAGATGATGATGATGATGGTCTGCGTCTATCTTGAGCACATTTGAGCCACAAGAGGAAACAGATGGCGACCCCGCTCCTTCATGCAGGATTATACAGAAAACAAATCCATAAAGCCCTTCAGTGTCGCACACACACACACATACACACACACACACACGCACACTCACACACACACACACATACGCACACACGCACACTCACACTCACACACACACTCTCACACACACATACACACGCACACTCACACACACACACGCACACACGCACACTCACACACACACACAC